GGTTCAGGGAAATGTATAGAGTTTCATCTCCAGCGTTGCACTTTCTTCCTTTTGTTCTGCAGTGCCTTGCATTCCCATTTTTATAAGCAGTTACCAGGGGAGGGTGGGTGTGTGCTGCTTTTTCTCCTCTATCCTTATGTGCTTGTTCCCAGGGCTCTTGTTTTGGAGGATGAAATCTGGAACGCATCTGGAATAGAAATGGGTGTTCTCATCACCACAGCGGCTGCGTTGGAGGTGGAGGCTGTGGGCTCACGCTAGCACCCTTGAGCAAATTTTGTTCTTCACTGGTCAGACATTGCAGTTAGATGAGACAGTACTGACCGAGTGTGAACTGAAACCCTTGAAGTCTGTGTTGGCAAGCTTTGTGCTGGATCAGGTGGCGTCTTCCACGCGCAGGGTGGGCTCTGCATCGCTGGGTAGCGGAGCAGAAACGCAGCTGTAAAAGCGTGGCCGCTGCCGGGGCAAGGTGTGAGCCCAAGACCGTGTGTCGCTGGGTACCACGGACCAAGGAGCTGTGACCTGAGGCTCAGCCCTGGGCGGTGACGCGGCAGTGACGAGCTCTCCCATCCTCCCCGCTGTCCAGGCGGGGGTTTCTGCTGCCGGGCCCGGGAGCAGTCGGCTCCTGGCGAGGGAGCCGGGCCCGAAGGCTGGTGCATCGCCCGTGCCTGCAGGTAGATGCATCCCGCCTTGCAACTGGGGTTCCCGGCTGCCGTGGAGCCTGTCCCCCAGCTTCTGCTGGTGGGTGCTGGGAGGGAGGGAGGGACAGCTGGTTCCAAGCTGTCCCCTGTGACAACATTGCCCCCTTGGAGTGAAGTCTGGCAGCAGCGAACCAAGGCTGCTGCTGGCAGGGAGGGTCGCCGCCTTCTATTTCTCCTGAACTGAAATGTTGAGACTCCTGCCCCGTGCGGGCTGCGTCGGACAGGGCGGGGAGGGAGGTGCTGGCAGTGAGCCTGGTCTTGTCCCCTCTGTTGGATAAAGCGTTGAGGGGGGGCACTGGTAGCTGGAGCCTGTGTCGAGGTGTTTTTGTCCACTGTTGGGTACCAAGGAGGTTCCAAGCAAACCCGAGCAGCTAATCAAGGAA